ATCGCGCGAAACTCGGCGGGGTGCAATGGCCCTGGATGGGCAAGGGGAGGGCGAGGGGAGGCGAGGGCAAACTGGACGCCACGTATCTTTACGGGTCATAAAGGTTGGCCCTCGTTACGCGGAGGAAGCTGTACCGCACCGGTGGCCACCAAGGCACCGCACCACCGACCCTCTTTGTCGCCTTTAACCCTCTCCCTCTCCCCTCCCTTCCCTATCTTTCTTCCCCCTTGCGGACACCAACCCCTCGTCGCCGTGCTCCAGGTGGTGGTGGTGGCATCGATACGGCCGCAATAAAGTCGTCGCCGATTCTCTCAACAAAGGAACAACGGGCCGATGAAACGCGGAAGCGCGATGCGATTCGAGCGCCACAACTTTTCGAAATAGTTCGAAAGCCTCTTTCTTTCTCTTCGTTTCTTCGTCTTTGAGCGATTCTTCGGAACGATTGACGGAAAAAAGAGGAAAAAGGTGTTCGATTTCTTCCGCGATGATCGATAGGGGACGAGGACAGGCGGAGGAAAGGGAAAGATGATAAAGAATTCGCCTCTTTTGCGAAACTTGGGTCACAGAGAGATGGCCGCAGAGTAATGAAGATGTCTCGTCGCGCAGGGTGTCCTCGATGCGGCATGGGGCCCATTGGTCCCGTGGCAGGCCACGGGGGGTGCGCGTAAACGATGTCACGGATGTCATTGTGCTCCCTTTGCACGGCCGAATCGAAAGAGAAACTCGGCTCCTTTCGGGTTTAAATAGGCCGGATATATAATTGGGCCCGCCGGGCCATTCACCGCATTTCATCCGCGGTACCCCCCATAATGCCCGTCGAGTGCTCGTACGGTGAAATAGAGGAGAAGGAGGGGGAGCGGACAAAGGCACGCGTGAATACCGAAAATCTCTCTCTCGAGCATCCGCGCGAGAAGTGGATCCGTATCGAGGAACCGCTGTGAACCCATGTTTGAAACGTGTAAAAAAATTTTAAGCGCGTCGAAACCGAAATTCTTTTGCCGGATATTTTGCCAACTTCTTTTCGATTTATACAGGTATATGTAAAAATTCCACGAGATCAAACCTCCCTCTTCCCTCGAAATTCGAATCGAAAGAAAAGTTTTCGTTTTTTTCCCAACGATTCGAGGAACATCCCAATACCGGAATCATCCCGACCGAATCGAGTGCCAAAATATTGAGAGGCGCTCCGCCGCCGGTTTTCTCCACGACACGCATCGAGGAAAAGGAACGCAGCGAGAAAGGGCCGAGAGGCGATAAATAAATGCTAACCTCATTTTTCATGTGCCCCATAAAGATCGTCGTTCGTCGTATGAATGAAAGGGGGGAGGGGAGCCGAAACCTTTCCAACCTCGTCCCCTCCCCAGCAACAACAGCATCTTGGAGAGAAAGATCCGCCATTGGCGAGCGCAGGAGCGTGACATTATATTTATGTTGTCACCCTGCGTGTCAACGCCGTGGCTACCGTGGATGGAGCTGGCTCGTGAGAGTGAGACNAAGAGACCCGATGGAAGGGGAGAGAGAGGGAGAAAAGAGGAAAAAGAAGAAAAAAAAAAAAGAAAAAGAAGCGAAGATAGGGGGCCTGACTGTGCCCTGTCTACAAACACCGCGCGTCCTGATCGCTACTCACTGCCAGGGACAATGGACGATCCTTTCGTTACCTGTTTACCAAAACCCAGTCATCGTAAAACCATCGAATCGAATCGCGAAGAAAGCGATTTCAAAACGTTCTCTTTCGTTTTTAGAAAAACGATATTCCTCCTTCGACCGAATCCAAGGAATCTCGACCATTTTCGATTCGACTCGTATCTTTGCTCTCCTTTCCGTTTCTTTTTCTCTCTCTCTCTCTCTTTTCTTTTTCTTCCTCTTTTCTCAGGAAGAAAGTCAATCAGTCGAAGGAACGTTAGTCCAAGTTAATTGGTTCTCCGAGCTAAGGGGAGAGGAGAGTCGCAGGGGGGCCCCTTCCGGCTCAGAGACGCGCGTGCCCCTCTTGTTGTCGCAACTGTCGTCGAACAGTTGGCTGGAAAGTGTCTGCGAATCGTCAGCCGAGGGTCGTCGCGCCGACAGCATCCGGTTTCTCGATTCGTCGCCGCTCGTTTGGGCTAACCGCCGAGGACACGACTCCCTTCCCTTTTTAAACTTTCGACAGGTTTCAGCGATAGTCTCTCTCTCTTTCTCTCTCTCTCTCTCTCTCTCCTTTCTTTCTCTCTGTCTCTCGCAACTTAGTAGCGATTTAAATCTCCAATACGAGGAACGTCGTGATAGGAATACATTGGAAATTGGCGTGTTCTCTCGTGTTTTCTAATCGCGTAGAATAAGAGAAACGGGAGGATGGATGAAACGAGATAAGGAGGGGAAAAAAATAGCGGTGGAGTGGAAGTGGTGGCAAGACCCGGTGCAAGGCCAGGGACGGGCGTGCAACAATCAATAACTGTCGTTCGTAGCAGGCATAAGTCGTACGTGCTCGTTGAACGTTGTATAGAGGAGTAACGCGTGCCAGTTTCCATCAGGAGTGACGGTAACAGCTGTTGCACGTCCATTTCGAAAGCTTTCTCCGTGGAAACTCCGGGGGAAATTGGCGGCGCTGATCGTCGCGTAAACACAACCTAAAAGCAGTAGATCACTCGATTCCTCTTCGTACAGTTCTAAACACGGATCCCGCGGACACGCACGAAGGGAAGGGAGGACAAATCTATATATATATATATAGATATATATAGATATATATACATATATATATAATACATATATATATATACATACGCGTATGGGTGTACACGCGCACACACGCAATTTGAAACAGAGCTGTCGATCGATTAGAACTTTTCCAGAGCATACGTGACACCCATAAAAAGCGTATCTCTTCATCCAACGGAATTGAATTCATCCCGCCTTACTTCGTTTCGGTCAAAAGCCATTTGCATGTCTATCTCGCGTTCAAGAAAAGAAAAAAGAAAAAAAAAAAAAAAAAAAAAGAAGAAGAATCCATTCTGATTTCGTTTCGACGATATGCTGATTTTCTAATCAGGGAACGCGTGTATGTTAAATATCTTCTTTTCTTTCTTTTCTTTTTTTCTTGTAGAAATTTGCATCGTTTCTTTTATCGTTCTTACGTTACTCGAGATATTATCGTAAAAGGAGAAAGAGAAAAAAAAGGGGAGGAAGGGTTAATTCCTTATTTGATTCGCACAACTCGAGACGCATACGCGTCGCGGGAGAAAGAATCGTGTTTTTTTTTTTCTTTATTTTTTTTCTATCGAAACGTCTCGCGCAAAAACGCGAAAAAACAAACACTCGTGAATAAATTTGTAATCGA